AAAAAAAAACTTAAGGGCCTTATTTAAAAAATATGTCGACTTACTCGTTATTTTTTTGAGGGAACAAATTTCAAATCCCTCTGGCCGTCATCTGATCATCAGGGATACTGTTAATTGCCAGCATCAATTGCAATACTTTCATGAAAAAACCATTGCTAGAGATCAAACAAAACTGCTACAGAAATTTTTTTCCCGAATCGCTAACTTAGGGCATTCGTGAGACTGAATCGTATTTGGAAATCATGATGTAGTGTTCATGTAATAGATCAACGCGACAAAAATAATTTGAAAAGAAACCTTATTAGCGAACACCAAACTCTAGAAATAAACGCTGTACTATACTGGTAATGCTTTGAGCAACAATTTTCAAATCGAAGAAATAATACCAAGGCTTCTAAAAAATGTATAACTGGAGGTAGTCTGATCTTAGTCCACCCTTAGATCATCATCATAAACACGTTTGACAATGATCCACACGAGAATCAGATATTTTCATGACACAAAGCAGATTTTCCTTACCGATTTTTCAAATGGTCGTTGTTGTCTTAAGCCGCTCCAGTCGATCTTCAAGTATTTCTGTTCGTATTAAAAATTCTCTTCATGTGGGTCGAATATAATCAACCCATGACGGCCCTGAACAATCATTAGGAATCATCATGGCTAACAAAAGCAGGGAGAATGTGATGATGACGTAGGACCATTTCAGAATCGATGCACCGGGGGCGTTCATCTATCATTTGTCCTTTTATAATTTTTCTTTTGTTCATTTTGTTTTATGAGTTTTGTCATCATACTTTCGCAATTGAAGTATAGTTCGATCTTCAAAAATGATACCTCAAAAAAGTTCTTGACATCTTAGATAAAATTAACCGTGTATCCCGTCCGCGGGTCGAGTTCGAACAAAACTATCTCATTAAAGCAATTGTGACAATTTTAAAGATGCTTGTGGCTTTTAGCAAGTGTCCTCTTCCCAGACCGTAACTCTTGTTAACTTCCTGACGTGTGACTCTCATAATCTTGATCTATTCGATGACATACCAGTATTCGAAGCACATCAATCAAGAAAAACAACCTCCAGCCAAATCATTATTAAAATTATTTGCTTTAAGAACAGAGAGAATATCTCTAAAAAGGAAGAAAACAAATACGAGAACATTCATTTCAATATTTTGATGTTCTAACTCAACTCCGATTACGCATAGCTTCTGAAGTATGTAAACATACTACATATTAATTTCCCTTCTTCATAACTCAAACCAAAACAACTACAATATTACTTTTCTTAAAATGTTTTTGTATGCGTAATGACAATCCAACATTAGTGCATTTTCAATGGCTCGTCCAACTTATTTCGTGAGCCCATGGAAATTGTTTAGATTTTGAATAAGTTTGGCCACGAGCCCATGGAAGATGGAAGCTCCGGGTAATGGGCTCCTGGTTTGGCGTGTTTCATGTTTCATTTCTGGCAAACAACGAAAACCATAATGCAAACATTCATCAAGAGCAGGGACAGATTTACTAGGTTACAAACACCTTGCTGGAGGAAAAGTTTCGTAGGTGCTAAATTCAGGAGACTTCCCCCATTCATATCCTCTAAGTTTCTCGACCGTGTCTAAAAGTCGGACGCCGATCATGGAGCCGTAGAGGACTCTTAAAGTCGAAAATACATCCGTGAAAACAACTATCTGTATGATAATCTGGAGAATATGAAGCCTAATTATCGCTGGTATAAACGAATCCCTTTTATTTTTGGTCTATTCATTTAATTACGAGTTGACTTGCATCGTCAAGTGGCAGACAAATGTCTCGAAGAGAATGGGTTTGCTTTTTATCTGTGATCTCGATTCATCTGCCTGAAAAATTCTCATAACTTCCTGACTATCTTCTGATAACATCATCCTCGGCTGCATATACAACATTTTAAAACGACCGTTCGCCTTCAAAACCTAATAAAGGAACATGTCCAAGCCGCTTTGAACCCTTCCCGATATTTCTGATGAAATAAAGCGTATAAATATGGATTTATGGCCGAGTTTGCATGTTGTAAGAACAGCGAAGTGAAATAAAAGCTCATGGAGGAGTCAAAACAGGTTATTTTATCATAGGCGAAATAAACCATAAACAGGTACACGTGAAGAGGCAGCCAACATACACAGAACAGAGTTATCACTGTTATAAGCATTTTGACGACTTTATTTGTCAATGTGCGCGTTCTGATCTCGTCTCGGCTCGAACGAAAACCCGGAATTTGCCTTTTCCATAGTTTAGAGACAATAAATGAATACATGAAGAGCATTGTAAGTAACGGAAAGACGTACAATGTCACGAACAACACCAAGGTGTAGTCCTTTGCCGCAGTTTGGGGGTTAAAAGCTGGGGCCCAATCTTCGATACACCTCTCGTACCCTTGGGGCCCAACTACGACCCTTTGCGCGTACAGAAAAGGAGCCATTACTGCCAACGAAGTCCCCCAGGTGACACCAAGCATGAATCTGCCCAGAAACGATCGAAGGAAATCGCTAATACTCTGAAAAAATACCACGATCTTGCAAATAGCATCTCCGAAAATCCACTTTTGTCCGAGATATAGCTGAGTTATCATGTTTGGCATTCCAAGGAACGTGATTAAAAGATCGCTGGCGGCCAGGTTTCCGATGAAGAGATTGGTGACACTTCTCATACTGTTGTTTCGCCACACTGTAAATATTACTATCGAGTTTCCAACAAGCGAGAATAAAATAATAACACAGTAAACTAGTGTCTTTATGGTCTGTGTTGCGGTTGTTTCGTAATGTTCAGGACAAGCGGCAGGATTAGCTGTTTCATTTAAGGTGGAGTTAAGACTTCCAGCCGCAACCATAGTGTATTACATCAATAGCTGTTTCCAGATATTTATCGGCAATCGAATAGAGTTAGTCCTCCGGAACGACCAGACACTGT